GGGGGGGGGGGGAAAGCAGCCCATTGTCCCCCTGCCAACGCTTGAGAGCCACTCACCTTTTCCAGTTTTTCAAAATGTTCCCGCAAGAACTTCATCGGCCGGTCGGGTTTAGCAATGCAGAGGTTCACAATGCACTCCTTCAGGATTTGCTGGATGTTGTGTTTCTGAACGTAGAGCTCGCATCCCTTTAAGCTCTCGTCTTCTTCTCCGTTGCAGGAGGAGGAAGCGGCTGCCATCTTTGTAGGGGTCAACTGACGACAACCCTGGATGAGGAGGTGGTGGGATGTAAGAAGAGGAAGGACATCCATCTCCAAATTCTTCGGGGAGAAGAAGCCACCCACGTTTCAGCCCTCCGAAATCCTCGGGAGCATATCATGTGTGATATCATCCAAACCTCGTGAGCACCAAGGTGGTCACATTGCAAATGCTCCATGGGTTGGAAGCCATGAGCTCTTCATCAGAGATTTACTAAAAATGCAGCCTCTGTTTTATCCAAGCCTCTCCCACTTGTGCAGCCTGGAAGCCAAAACCCACAGCTTTCCAGGCATCACCTCTCATGTGAGACAGTCTTGCCATTCAAAATTGGGGAATATAAGAATTTTGGGGCTTTGGTTCATAGAAATTGGATTTTTTTTTTCCTTTGTGGCCTCAGAATCTACTGTATTGTTCCAACTGCTGCATTGTCATCAAATTCTAAAGGGTTTATAAATATCCCCCAGTATAAAGAGTGGTCAGACCCAACACCCCCAGACCTTTCTGTATAGTCCTGGATGTTGTTCACTCCCGAGAAAACATGGTTACGTCAATAATAAACTCATATGAGAGAAAGACCCATCTGTTTCACTGAAGCCAATAAGCTGAATTCCTTACATTTGTTCATGCAAATGATTTTGACCCTTTTGGGTGTTTGGGATGCCAAGCTCATCCAAAAAAAAGAGCTCTGGGACATTCCCTGGAATTTGCAAGGGAGGAAAAGCAGATTCCCAAACGTCATTCATTCATTCATGGATTTGGAGTCCAAGATTCAAAAGGCTTTCACCGCACAGGCACCCCAATTGTGGGCTCAAATTAGCTACCTTTGGAAGACGATCCCAAAGGCTTCTAAAAGCCAAATACATCCTCCCCAGTCAGAAAGTCCTCTGTGTGCCTTCAGCTGAATCTTAGCGGGCAGGATCAGAAATATTTGGACCCAATTTGATCCTGACTTCAAAGAGGGCAGAGTGGGGAGGTCCCTACTTCCCTTTTTTGCAAAAAAAGGGGGGGGGAAAGCCCCTTTTTCTCATCATTCCAAGCCACAGCCATGGCATTAGGAAGAGCAACTCAGAATTGTCAAGCCTGATAATTTTTTTCTTTTTTTGAAATAGTGGGGCAAGGAAGCTCCCCCCAGCATGCTTGCCTCTTTCTCTTGTTAACTGGATGGAGGGGGAGAAGAATCTCCCCCCCCCCTCCAACCTTTCGTTCTTTGCCTCCATCAGCAACAGCTCTTTAGTGCAGAATTAAATCTCAGCCATTGTTGCTGGGGGAACAAGAGAATAAGGATGGATGGAAAGAGAGAGAGCAAAGATAAACCACGGGGGTGGGGGGGTTGGTGCGGGGGGGGCAGCAAGGGCAGGCTTGGGTGGACAGGGAGTATATAAATACCTGGTATTTGGTTAAGGCAGCAGTTTCTTCCAGATTCCCGTTATTCGCAGTAGAAATCTCTTCCAGCTGCTAGGTAGCTTAAGGGGGGGGATATCCCCCTACCCCCAATGTTCTAGATATGTTCTCGGGGAAAATCCCCTGCAAAAAGACAATGGAGTCAGGCAGTCACCCCCGTCCTTAGATGATCTCACTGCCTATCTTCCCCCACTCCCCCTCCGAATCCCCCCCCCTTGCACACAAAGCGTTAAAAGTCCCTGGCTCTCACCACCATTCCTTGCACAGGAAGTTGCCCGTCACACCAAGCTCAGCCTCTTTTTCCTGCAGGGAGAAAACAAACTCAGGTTGGAAAAGAACCAGCTCTAAGCGTGATTGGATGCTGTCAGGCTGGGGGATTCCCAACTGGGGGGGAATTGCATCCCTTGTGGGGGTGAAATTAAGGTCCGGGGGTGTGCAGACGGAAGCTGGACAAAACCCTCTTTCCCCAGTGAAAGAACGGGTTTTGCTTGAAGTGTCCGTGTGGTATGTGACACCAGCTACATTGTCTAAAATGTATAAAGGAATATCAAATCAGTGTTGGAAGGGTGAAAAGGAAGAGGGGACTTTTTATCCTGCAGGGCGGACTTGTGAAAAAGCAAAAAAAAATAAAAAGGTACAAATTCATAAAATGATGCCAAAGATATTATGGTGAAATATTGTGATGAAACCAGAATTATTCTTACTGGGTTTTATGGACAAGGAATTGGATAAGAAATATGGGAAAGTAATATTGTATATGGTAACTGCGGCAAGATTATTGTACGCAAAAAGTTGGAAAAGCAATGAAATGCCTACAGTGGAAAATTAGACTATAAAATTAACTGAATTTTATAGTCTAGAATGGAGAAATGGTGAAGCTGGCCAGTTTGGTCAGAGAAAAAATGATGAAGGCTCTTTTAAAAGACTGGAACCCTTATATGGCCTTTTTTGCTGAAAGAAGATAAAAATGAATGGATGATTTGGGGATTTGGGGGAATAAAAATGAGATAAGGAGGTTGGGGAAAAGTTTAAAATGATAATTACTCAATAGAAAGAAGGGCAGAAGGCACAACTGCATGTTTTTCTTTTTTTTCCTTTTCTTCCTTATTTCTCTATTTCTTATTTTCTATTTTTGTTCTTCTTTGCTTTGTATATTTTACTACATTAAACATTTCCAATAAAAAATATTTTTTAAAAAGTGTCAGTAGGAAAAACCAACACCCAACTGTACAAAAATGTTCACTTCTTAGGGAAGGGTGTGAGGTTCGGGAGGGGCGTCCTTAAGGGGGGCGAGGGCCACAAATGTGGCAAACAGATACTGTGATGAGGTTGGAGTTGTAGTGGCAATTTTAGGGTTTCCCCGAGATGAGAGGTAGCTCCCTGATCCAGCAACCTCTCGATGGGAGAATGCTAGAAGTTGAAACGCACGCATCTATAGAATATCCCAGTTGGGAAAGACTGATTTATCCAAACGTAGGAAGCTGGTCATTACAAGTAGCCCTCACTTACCAACCACAGTTGGGACCGGCAACTCCATCGCTAAGCAATGCGGTCCTTAAGTGAAATGTCACCTGACCGCACTGGACTTATGACATCAGTTCTGCTGCGCCGTTAAGCGAATCCCTGCATAATTGCATGACCTCAGTCATTTATTCATAGGTAATACATTTTTTCTGAAAATATACCTTTGTTTTCAATAACATTAAAGAATTATAATAAGACTAAATAATAATAAAATAAGCACATCGTTTTGATGTACTTCTCAAAGCAGGAAAATGAATGTATTTGTTTATGTTTATATACACCGTAATATTACTAAAGGTTTTTTTAAAATGTTTGTTTTGCAACAGTAGATATGCCAAAGAAGAGTCATCCAAGTAGGCAGTATGCTAAGGATTACAATTTTTAGAAAAAAAATGTCATTCCAACATGCCAAAAAAGCAGGATGGAAGGAGGCACTTTTGCAAACGGCTTCTTGAATCTGGTGGTGCTTCGCCCACTGGATTTGAGCATAGCATGTTGGTTAAACTGTCTGCCTCCCTGTGAGCAACCTTATCAGTGTCTTATTGCAAGGTCAAAATTGAGGAGCAAATTCCGGGGATAGAAATATAGAGTATATACAATTGTCACCTCCCAGAATTCCCAGCCGCGCTGGAGAATTCTGGGAGTTGAAGTTCCCCGTACAGGAAGCCTGCGGGAAAAGCTCGCCTGGACTTCCGGCCCC